AAAATTGAACAAATTTTTGTTCACCACCACTTCACCAACTAGTGCGAAAATCCCGTACGCGCGCGCTTTCCATGAAGTAATCTCTACTTATTTTATACATACTGAGATTTTCTTATCAAATTTTCCTGTGTGAAAAACAAGTTCACGACTTTTTTTAGCCAATCAGAGAGGCGAAACGATTTATCACGCGTGAAAAAAGCGTTTCGTCCAATCGCAAACCACTGTCGAGGCGAATCGTGTTTTCGCGGTCATCGCCGGTAGCTTTGTCGAGCAGCTTTTAAATATTTTCAGTTATTCAAGTTGTTCGTAGTTAAAAATTAAACTTATCTAAAAAAGAGCTAGGAGATATTTTGTGAAAATGGCTGAGCAATCAAGAAGGTTTGTGTCTCTAGACAAACCTATAGACAAGTTTATCGAAGACCAAAAAAAAGCAGAAACAGTCTTTCGAAGACACGAAGAGATGTAAGTTTGCTGACTGAGTTTCTCAACTCCAAAAATGAAATGAGAAGAGTCGAGGAAATCCCGCCAGAAGAGGTTATTGAAGTATTATTGAAGACAGCCAGTTTGAACAAGTGAGACAAGCTTTAGAAGCTCGAAGTAAAGAACTCAAAAAAGAAGGCAAAGGAAACAAGCCGAACGCAGCAGAAGCTCTTACCGATGAAGAAGTAAACATTTTATACGATAAAAAATTACTTGGAATTTCAAATGCTGAGGCTAGCTTTGCTAAACACAATGTGGTTTATGAACACCAATCAGTTTGGATTAAGGGGATGTGACGAGCACCGTCGTATGAAGTGGGGAGACATTCAACTGCTAACAGATGTGAATGGAGCTGAATATTTAGAATATTCAGAGCGACAAACAAAAACAAGGACCGGAGCCGATACGAGAAATGTCAGAACAGTAAAACCTAAAGCTTTCAGTTTTGCAAACGCTTCGCCGGACAGAGATCCAGTGTTTGTTTACAAGTTATATTCTGAGAAAAGACCTAGCTCAATGAAGGATAGTGATTCACCGTTTTATCTTGGTATTAATCATACTAAGAACCCTACAGATAAACCATGGTTCAAGGCCAGTGCAATGGGAGTCAACCAGTTAAATAGTTTAATGAAAACTATGGCAGACAAAGCAGGCTTTGATGAAAAGCGAAGACTTACCAACCATAGCGCAAGAAAAACTATGATGCAAAAACTGAATGACAACAACATCCCGCCAACTCATATAATGCTGTTATCTGGTCACAGAAACGTTCAACAGAACAAACGAACAACAGAAAAACATGTCTTTGATTCTGAGTGGAAAAACTACAAGTACGTCTACAGAAAAAAGGCCAGTGTCGAGTTTACAAAGTGAAGTGGGCACCGAGTGCCGTGAATCTTCATTCATGAAAAGTTCTAGTTTCCCTGCAGCAGGCCCATTCAGTGGCGCAGTTTTTCACGGAGGACAGTTTAACATAACAATGAACACTTTAAACAAGTCGCCAACTTCCACCGATAACTCATTCAAATCAACAGAGTCAACACGTAGCTTCAAACGCATCAAGCGTGTGTTTGAATCGTCAGACGAAGACAGCCCTCCGCTTTAACAAGCTAAGTTAAGACTTCATTGACCTACCGATTTTGGATGCTTATTTCGTTATTTTCAAATGAACAGTTTCATATTTAGCTTAGAATTTAAACGTTTTGCTATTTAATTTGTACCAGATATGCATTTGATTTAAATAGTAATTGTTTTACATGTACCTTTTAAGCTTTTAGCTTTTCAAAGAGAATTCTAAAATACAGGAGTTTTGTATTTTTTTTAGAGAACCCATTAAAGGTGAATTAATAAAAAAACAAAATCTTAGCATGTATAAAATAAATAGATTACAGCATGGAAAGCACTTTGTACGGGATTTTCCCACTCGTTGGTTTTGTATCCGAAATCTCACTCGTTCGCTGCGCTCACTCGTTCGATTTCAGATACGGCACCAACTCGTGCTAAAATCCCGTACGCGCGCGCTTTCCATGAAGTAATCTCTAT